TGCAGTTAAAAATAGAAATCGTACAAAAATAATCACAAAACCCAACCAAATAAAACCATAATTTTCAATTTTACGCTATAAATATAACCGTAACTTGAGGTTGTTGTTAGGTTTGATCAAAAAACCACATCCAACCTCACGAATAAAAAAAAAAAAAAAAAAAAAACATGGCAAGCGGCCAAACACGCCGAACCTTGTAACCCTTCAGAAAAAGTTACGCCTTTTTTCTTTACTTCAACTGAACTGCGTCTGCCTCTGTCGAAGCTCTCGGCGACCCCCATCGACAGCCACCGGCCACCTCCGAACAAGAGGGGGAGCCCTGTTCTCCTTCAAAAGAATCCCAGCACATGTGATTGATTTCAAAAGAGGGGAAGCGACACACATAAAAAGTCTTGGATTCGAAGGGAAGAAGGGTAACTATCCAGCCCCTGTTCTTCGATTTCCTGTGGGGTGAAACACAGCATACACGCACCTGCCGGGAACAATCCATCCCCTGTTATTCGATCTCAGGTTTGATTTTATATTTGGTTTGGTTGAAAACAAACCCCAAAATGTTTGATGGCGTGGAGTTCTTGATCAAAAACAAACTCCAAAATGTTTCAGGGGCGTCGTTTTCTCTCAGGCTTACAAAATACGAGAAAATCTACGAGATTTTGGTGGCGAGTTCAGAGTAAACGAACGATCCCTAACCTTGGTCCCAAGTTCAGAAGCCAATTCAGTTGAATTTAATGATTGCAGCGGATAGGTAAACCCCCTCAATAAGCAAGATTAGTTTAGTGTTTGTTGTATTTGTGTGTGTGTGTGTTGTATATGTGCCTGTGCTGACTCAAAGGTTGAGATCAGAATAGCAATGTAAGAATTGGGGACTGAAACTGTGAACAACAATGGAAGGACGGAAGGATTGCCATGTCAGCCCAAAAGTCCCCGTTAATGCCATGTTGGCTTGCCATATGGATTATGGAGTGGTAACTAGTTTTACATTCAAGTTGGCATAAATGAAATAACTTTGCAAACTTGGGGCATTAATGCACATAAAATCGGACTTAGGGTAAAACCGTCAATAATTGACAAACTTTAGGGCTTTGTGTCAATATCCCTATTAACAACTAACATTTCTGTGAGGTGTAGAAATATTGTGCATTCTGTCATTTAATATTTGCACCTTGTACATGTATTTATACTAAAAAATGTAAGGATAAAGATAGCTAAGGTAACTATCTAATAATCATCTATCAAGAGTATCTTTAACTGTATAATAATTAATTACCAAAGCTAATTATCTAATAATTGTAATTATCTAACAAGTTCATTATAAATATTCACCCTTTTCAGTTTTTGTTATTTTCTTGATAAAATAATCCATGGTTTTTTCCTGTAATCCCATTTGGCCTTTCACTGTTTTTTGATCATTGATGCTGTGGCTCTTTTTCAGTGAATCAATGAATATGGAGGCAAAAGAAGACTACCATTCAAATAATGAGGCTTCTTCATGTAATGACAATTCAGAAGATGGTATAAACTTAATTATTGTCTTGATTTACTTTATCAACATTGAGTTTTTGTACATTCTAGAGTCATGGTTTCTTAGTGCTATGATTCTGGCCAAAGCAGCCAGGAGTGAAGATAAAGTGACTCTGTAGCTTAAGACATGCAAAATCATATAAATCAAGAGTAGTATTTATTATCTATATATTTATTTAAAAGAGCTGTAGATTCCAACATGATAGCAAACACACTTAGCTTCTTGTACCTTTTTGTTTTATTTTTCAGTGACTCAGTGATAGGGAAAGGAAATATGAAATTAATAGGGTAATGGAATGGCCCATTACATTCCATGATCATGTTTGATTGGCTTGTAGGAATGGAATGAATTTTTTACGTTATATGTAAATACACTAATAAATACGTTCAGCTCTAGTCTATTATAATAGTTCACATACATAAAAATGAGTTATCACTATGATGCAGATGCAGTGTTTCATTCCATTCCATGATGGAATAACTAGGTAATGGATAATAAACAAAACGAAAGCAATTACATTCCTTTAGAAAACGGTTCATTCCATTCCTTCCTTGACACAAAACAAACAACGGAATGAACCATTATTATGATTCCATCCTACCAAACATTTCTTGTTCTTCCTCTTTAATCTTTACTAGTAGTATCATATGCTTACATGACATTTCTTGCCATGAAATGGTTTTAAACTTTATTCTTTTTATGCTAACATTATATTATATTATATTGTGGGAATGGAATTTTGCAGACTGGGAAGCTGTTGCAGATCGTGCTCCAGATGAGTTAGTAAATTTATCAAAACTGAGACTTGAAGATAAAAAAGATCAAACTCCTACTGCAAGGCGTGGGAGGGGCACATTTTCATATGAAAAACAAAAACATGGCTTGTATTTGTATAGTGATCAACAACAATCTTCTTCTATTCAAGATGATTCACTAAATCAAACTACTTCTCAAGGACATCAACCCACAACAGACTGTAACTTCCTTATTGCTTGCTTAATTACCTCTCTCAGTAAACGAATTTTAATTCATCAAAATCAAAGGCATTGAAAAAAATATACATACTTTTACCAAAAACAAAAAGGCTTACTTTTATTGATTTGCTTAGGGCATCTCCAACCCACCCCCAAACTCCATTTCTTCCCCCATTCTTCTCCAACCCTACCCCATTTTCACCTCCATTTTTGGAGATATGAATAGTATTCCCCCATATATGGGGGATATCTCCAAAAATGGAGGTGAAGTTTGGTTGCCAAATTTTAGTCCCTCTTATTTTTATTTTATACATTTCTAGTTTATTTTATCTACTAATTATAGTTTAAATGCAATATTTAATATTTATAATATCATGTTATATACTAATTTATATTAATTAGTCATAAATATAGAGTTTAATTAGTAGAGGGATGTATTTGACAATATATATAAGTTATAAAAATGGAATATTCTAGGAATATACTTTTTGGGGTAAAAAATGGGGTAGAAAATGGAGTAGGGTTGGAGATGAAACACTATTTACTCCATTTTTTACTCCATTTATGGGGGAAAAAATGGAGATGGGTTGGAGATGGTCTTATAGCATTCTGTTTTCATTTCTTCCTATTACACCATTCATTGTACTTTAAAAAACTCTAGCAATCTCATCCAAATACAAAGTATTTACTCCGTACATTTTTTCAAAGAAAATAATTGCTATGAATATGATTGGGTAGATTTTTTCAAAAAGGAGTTTTCAACCTTGGGCTGCTCTGCTGTTCAATGCCTGCTTGTAATTGAATTAAATGATATTATGATGCTAGAATAAATAATACACAAATTAAAATAGATCAGAAAGTATGTTTCTGTTTCTTGCATTTAGCCCAAAAAAAAAATGATGCAGTTTTAACATCAATTCATGTGTCCACTTTTGATCAAGAGATGGAAATATAATGGTCATTAAGGTGAATTTAAAAAAAAAAAAAAACTGTTGTAATGCATGACAAGCTTATTTTTCATTTTTTTTTTTTGCGAGTGATTTCAGTAAAATATGGTACTCGACATGCTCTTGTTCTTGAAGGCTTCCAAGCAAATATGAGTACAAGTGGGCTTGAGAATTTGTTGAACAAGTTTGTTTCTCATGATTTTGTGATACGTTGGGTCAATGATACCACTGCATTTGCTGTCTTCAGAACACCAGCAATTGGTATGCTTAATTATTGTTTGAATATATTTCTTTTTCCTTTTATCTTAACTGTTGTCTGGATAAATGATTTCTCTAACAGTATTTTGAGAAAAATTGTGAAACGATTTGTAGAAATGAGGGAGAATTTGTAATAGGTTAGGACTCTATGGGGCAAGCTTAGGGTGTGTTTGGTTGTGGAAAACTGTTTTTAGAAAAAAAAAAAAAAGGAGCGGAGTTTTCAGTAGAAAATTTTTAGAAAACGCGTTTGATTGAGTTTTCATTTTCCATTTTAGATAAATTAGAAAACATGTTTGGATGTGTATTTTCTATCGGTTTTCATTTTCTATTTTTTTGTTATTTTAAATAGTATAGTACAATATTTAACATATTATAGAAAAGTTTTGGAATTGGAAAAGTGTGGAAAACAATAATTATTTGTTTTCCAAGTTACTTGTAAATTGTAATTTAGACAATTGGAAATATCTCTTTACGAGGAACATTTTTAGAAAAAATAATAAACCAAACTCGTTTTCAGAATTTTCATTTTCTTTGAAAAATTCTGGAAAACAAGGGATTTTGGTACAACCAAGCCATTCCCTGATTTTCTTTATTAAGTCGTTATTTCTATATTAAGTCTAGAAGATTCGGCCATAAATAGCTTGCTACATTATGCATCGATTGGAGGAAATGGAAGGACAAAATAGAAAAGGGCAAATTTGTAAAAGGTTGGAACTTATTTCTCTATCTAGTCGTTCTTTCTGAATTAAGCTAATATGAAATACCAATATATAGTTTAGCACACGTATTTGATGGAAGAAATTAAAAAATGAAGGGAAATTTGTACAAGTTTAGGATCCCTGGCTTTCTCTATTAAGTCATTGTCATTCTTTTTGCAGTAATTAAATACTAAGACTCTGTTCCTATTGCACATCTAATTGAGAAAAATGACTGCAGACTTGAGGAAATGGAAGGAAAAAACAAAAAATAAGTGAAAATTTTAGGACTCAATGGGGAAAGTCTGCTTTCCCTTGACTTATTTTATTAAGTAGTTCTTTGACTCATGTAGCTTATCAGATTAATTCATTGCACATGTTTTACATGATATATGATTAGAGTGAGCAGCATAATTGAATTTGGAATTTGGAATTTGGATAGTGGTTTGGTTGATTTAAGGATATATTGTGATGTTGGGTTTTGCAGCTGTTGAGGCATGTAACTTGATTAAGTGTCCATTTACAGTTCGTGTACTTGATGAGAATGATGTACTCCTAAGCTCCATTCCAGAAAAAGGTAATTATAAAATTCTGAATATTTGGCTTTTGTTTTTTTGATGGGTCATGGGTGCATCCATTAACCAACATGGTTTTTCAATGAAAACTAAAGGGTCTCTTTGTTTGTTTGGAATTGAATGGAATGAATTTTCTGTATTATATTTAAGTAAGAGGTATAGTCTTAGCACTATTCTAGTTATTATTTAATTGTGATTATAGGATTTATTATTATTTGCAAAACTGATAAATTAAACTTTATTAAAACCCAAATATGATTATAAATTACATTTTTGGTCCCTGAGTAAGGCTTTGATTTTTTCAATTTTCGTCCTAAATAGCTCTCTTGCAATTTTGATCGATGTTTGAAGTTTTTTGCCCTGTTTCAAGCAAGTAAAAAACAATTACTTGGAAAAGAAATAAGGCATGAAATACTACTCGAATAATTTTTTGGGCAAAAGAAATAATTGCAAAAGAGAACTTTTTGGGCAAAAATGAGCTATGCTCAGGGATCAAAAGCGTAATTTACTCGAATAAATTTTTTTTTTTTCTAGTTAATTTTAGAAAATACTACTCTATAAGGCATGAAAAATGAGAAAATGGAAAGAATGAAATTCCTTAAAGATTGGTCCATTCCAGAAACGAACAACTCTATATAGCAGGCAGCAGTTTTACATATTTCATTCTGAAGAGAGCCAATTTTGGTTATAAAAATGTTGACAGATTTGGAGCCACCTCGACAAAGGCCAAAAACATCAGCAAGAACTGCCCAAAGGTTAATTGCTCATGGAATGGGACTCAAGTTGCCTTCCACAAGTTTCACCCAAAAACAACTCAAGGAACAAGAAGCAGCCCGAAAGCAACGCATACTTTCCAGACAGAATCTCAAAGATGATGCTTGGGGGGGACCCACCGACTAAATGTTTTCTTTCTTTTGCCTGCTGGATTTTAATATCTCAATCTAATCACGGATATTATTATTATTATTATTATTATTATTATTATTATTATGGATTCAAATGTCAACCTACAGAACCTATAAATTTTATAGGGGATAAAAAGCCATCCCAATCAACGGATTTAAACAAAACTTATTGTTCCATGTTTCACGTTTCTGTTTGTTTCAACTTTGAATACTTGAATAATTATATAATCAAAGTAGTTGCCAAGTCAAAAGTTGAGAATATTTATAGATTTTGGATATCTTAATAAAATCACTATCTTTCGGGAAACACTGTTTAGGATTTTTGTATTGAATTTTCGTATTCAGATTTATTTTTCTAAATAGGTATAGGCCTAGAGCATAGACTGATTGATGTGTGTACGAGGAGGGCTTAATTTCTTTTTGGATTTTCTGATTATACGAATGCAGCGGAAAAATAAGAAACAAGAACAAGAACGATAAGAAAAATAACAAAAATGGATAGATTTGATAGACAACCTAGACCTATAGATTGAATATCGGGTGAAAACAAGTTAAGAATTATTAACTTGAGTTCTAGGAAATCACCTGTCAAATGATATGTGATGATAAGCCAAATCATCCGTCAAATGATATGTGATGACAAGCCAAGACCTATTGACTTGAAATTGGGACACGAATGAGAAACGCATCCCAAACAATGACACGACAATCCGAATTATATGCAGTAATTCAAGAAAACAAAAACAAACGTTCAAAATTCAACTTCAATCAACTCTCATTCATTCAAGAATGTTCAACAATGACCATATTTATAGCCTTACAAATGCTTACAAAAAGGAAACTAAAACAAAAGCTTAAAATAAAATAAAATAAAATCGTTCCTAAAAATAACAAAAAATCTAGAATCTTCGTCCTTAAGGTAACCATGCCAAAGCCCATGCAATCAGCCATGTAAACTCCTCGCAACAATGGTCACATCAAGTAATCCTCGCACCCAACAAGTACTTCGGAATCAGTAAGTTGTTCGGGACCAAAAGTCAATTTGCATCCATGTAACATTCGCACCCAAATAGCTTTCGCATCCACAAGTCGTTCACAACCACTAGCGTTCGCATCCAGTAATACTTCGTGGTTCACATTCATTTATTGACTGCGAGTCATCACGGTCGTTCTCATTGGTTCGCATCCAGTCGCAACTTGGACCTCTTTCACACTCAACATCCCATTCGCTATCTGGATCCCATTCGCACTCAACACTCAGCTCGGAATTGTAATGTATTTCGGAACTTGAACTCATCTCGGAGTTGGGATGCATTTCAGAATTTGATAACATTTCGGATTGTGAACTCGTATTCGCATCACTGATAGACCATTTGATAAATTGTTGAAATATTATAAGACAAATATTGTTGGCTTTAGATCCGACATTGTAACACTAATGCAATTATAATATTTTAACACAAGCTGTATTACCCGAGCTTATTTTTTAGTTTGCCTGTTCACAAGGTGATTCATTATGTACCAAATGTTTATCTTTCATTTATGAATTGTTTTCTCTTACGTATTTATAAGATGATGACCAATGAGGATCTTGCATCATTCTTTTTGCAGCTAATCACCAAAATTACCAGAAGGCAACAAGTCTATCATAAGAATAATTGATCATAAAAAACATCATATTATATCAAATCATTTATAGAGTAAATTTCATGTCTGGGTCCAAAGGTTTGTTTAATATAAACACATTAGTCATAAGTTGGAGATTGTTGCAAGTTTGGCCCCTAATGATGGTGGGTATGGCTTTGTGAAGGAGTCTAGACGAGGCATGTGAAGGAGTATAACACATGCATGTTGGAAGACCGCCCCACCATGTCTGTACCATGTAAGATTATTGAGGTCTTAGAATATCAATTAACTAGGATAATTTCTAGGATCGTGATTGCAATCACTTTCCAAAATCTGTGATTTCAACCCTTATGCATGGGGTATCACGAAATCCGATTTAGGATAATCCAAGAAACGCAATTTTGAGAATCAGGCCACTTCCAAAATCAAAACACAGAAATATACCTTGCTGTTTTGTGTTCTGCAGAGATAGAGAGAAAAAAAATATTTTTCGTGTATATGAGTTCCAACCCTTTTTTTGGAACCAGAGAAAGGTTCTTATACTATAGGGAAAAGAGGTTATGGCGGTTGCCTCCGGATTTGACGCCAAAACATGTAGTTATTAGACATAACTAACATTTACATCATCAAGATGTCATCAGGAGAGTTTTGGCGGGAAATTGCATGGAGCCGATGTAAAATCCCTTTAGGTTTCGGGGTGCTGCCCCTTGGACCCTACTAGGGGCACTGCCTCTAGATCCCACCAAGGGGCTGCATCCCCTTGGAACCCTGCACCTAGGGGCGCTGCCCCTGGACCCCCCCCCCCCCGGTATTCCCGAGTTCATAGTTCTCACACCAAGTGTGCATCCTCACACCTCCAAGCTCTGTTAGTAAATGAAGCTCGACCTATCTCATTATTAATAATAATTACACCAAAATATGTTGATAACACTAAAATCACCAACATACCAGTGCATTGAAGAAGCCCAAATTGGGGAGAGCATGTCGAGAGAAACAGAACGTTAGGAACAACTACTTTTACAATGACTACTTTTCTTTTTAATTAAAAGAAGCTATAAAAAAATTATAAATAGATATCCAATCTTCTTGTTTTTATAAGAAACTTTTATCAACTATCTATCAATTTCAACCCTATAAAACATTTTATAAGTTTGAATGGATTCATTTGAGAATACATGTGTGTACTTTCATCTTCAAGTTCAAACGATGAGTCTTTATTTGATAATATATATATATATATATATATATATATATATATATATATATATATATATATATATATATATATATATATATATATATGCACATAAGACTTATGTTTTGTCAACAATTACCCAAACTACATTACTTCTTTTTTCAAGATACCATAAGTTCAAACGTGACAATAATTATAATAACTTGACTAGACAAAGATCATGAAGTTGCACGTATGGTCTTCTGCATGATTAATTTGCTGACGATTTTGTTAGGGTGAAAAGTCACTCTTAGATGTCATGTATGCTTACTCCTTTGTATGTGTGTAATGAGTTGTCTTTCTTTTATAAGGAAGTGAGTGACACTCATTTTATGTAAGGAACACTTGTGAGAGATTAGTTTAGAGAGAGAATTATTGTGAACCCATTTGTACTCTTTCTATGAACTAATGAGAGCTAAACCCAAATTTATTTACTCTCGTGTTCTTCATGTTCTTGATTGTTGTATGACTCACTAAATCATTTCATATTCCGCATTTGTCCTCATAATCAACACCACTACAATTGGTATCTGAGCGGGTGTTCTTGATTTTCTCAAGAATTGATCCATGATGACATTTTTGATTTAGTGATTCTTCATTGTTATTTGATCTTCATGTTTTAGAGAGATTTTGGATTCTAGAAATCGAATTGTTCCTTGATTCAATTCATAATTCTATTTTCTTCACTAGAATTCAAGTGATTTTGCTTTCTCTCTCTAGAAAACCCATTCAAAATCACTTCCTCTCTCTAGAAAAACTCAAGATCTTATTGATTGATCAAAGATGGTGTTCTTGTCTTATGATTCATGGATTGTGATCGTTGAAGATGTCAAGTACAAAGTCAATGAAAATCAATTCTATGGATTATTATTTAAAGGTGGGTTGATTTCATGGGAAACTTTGGTTTCTTATGGAGGTTTGAAGGATGATCATGGAAGATTGATATTTCAACCACTTTCGAAGATTGGATGTTTGCTTGAAATCACCATGAATATGTTTTCTTGGTGTGGAAATCGAAAGGAAGGAAAAAAAAGAGAATTATTAAGAAAGGAATATGTTTCTCTTATTGAAGACCCAAATGATCTTCATGTTCTTAAGTATGTTGAAGTTCAAGACTACGGAGTTCAATGTGATGTTCTTGATGTTCTTGAAGTTCTTGAAGTTCATGATAAGAAGATTCAAGTTGATTTTCGTGAAGATGAAAAAGTTTTTTGCTCAATTGGAGTTCAAACCGATGATATTTTGTGTTCTTGTGATTCGTTTGAAGGAATGATTCCTTATCGAAAGCCATCAATCCAAGAAATTCACAAGTATCAAACTCCAAAAGATATGATCCAAACTTGTCAAGTTGAAGTTGTGGAAAGTGGTTTTGTTCATGAATTCAATTCTTCAAGATCCAAGAAGATGAAAAGGAAGAAGAAGAAGAAGATTAAACGTAAGAACAAGCAGGTTTATTCACAAAAATCGTCAAATGTTGTTGTGAAGCCGAAATCCATGAAAACAAATTTGGGTTCCAAAGCAACAATCACCAAATGTTGCAATGAATTTGAATTCAAAACCCAAAAGTGTTGATGGTTCTAGTGAAGATGTTCTTAGATCGTTGAAGAACACGAAGAACGAGTTGTACAACATGCATCGTGGGTGGTAGAATGTTCAAATTGGATATTTTCTCATTCCAAAAAAAGAACCAAGATCTTCAAAAGTTTGATTCGATCATTGAAAATGAAACTCGGATCGTCAAAAAGGTATCACAAATTCTCAAATGGTGATGTGAATTAAGAACATTGGTTTGGCTTGCGGAATTAAAGAACACATAATGAACATGGTGATTTCGGTGTTTAAGAGATGCATTCGATTATGTATGGTGTTACACAAAAAAGGATCTAGATCTAAATCTACATAAATAACACACACTTACACACTCAATTTTACATCTCTCAAGCACACCTCTACATGTGGAATAAACCCACCTCATATAGAGGTGTTTACATGTCTCTCTCTCACTCTCTATCTCTCATGTCACAAGGCTAAAGCACCACATGCAAGTGGGTCTACAAAAGTCAACCCATTTACAAAGTCATACATGGATAACTTTGCACCCAACATTCTCCCCCTCAAAGTTAGGAATGGATGACCAACTTCAAATCTTCCAAAATCGAGCAACTACGTGATCCGAGCCTCAAGTGTGA